TTATCAGATTGACTATTGTGGTATGGCAGTGCTTTGTGTTCAAGTAGTCCTTATTTTACTTAATAGTGGCTCCAAAGCACAAGAGTAGTGATGTAATATTTTGGGGCTGCGGTTGACCTTGGGTTACTGAAACTGTGGAAAGCGAAACCTAGAACAAAGGGGGGACTGCTGTAAAATTATTTGTCAATTTATAACAAAGCTAAAAAAAAGAATTATCTTGGCAGTAAATAAACACTTTTTAAAGTACATCATGAACTCGCATTTTAATGTATTGATGTCACACAGTCCATTATTGTCACTACCGTTTTTCGTGGTCAAGTTGTCCCTTCATGGTCCAGTGGAAGCCTGTTCACGTTTGCTCTTGCGACCTTTTGACGCTTTCCCCTCTTGCTTTCTTATACAAAAAAGTGTTGTATTTCAGGCTCACGTTTTCGTTTCCTGTTCCTTTAAAGTTCTCTGTGTAGCTGTGACTCCTCTGAGGCCTTTTCTCTGGACAGAGCTTATTTTTTTTTTTTTTTTTTTTAGGCGGGGGAGGACTAATTTCTCAAGAGCATACTGTTTCCCAATTCAAATGTAACATTACAGAGATTTTGCTTCTTTAATTTTGTATTTGTATCTCTTTCGTAGAAAGTCTTGCTGTGCACATTTCCAGTGTCCACAAATTTTTGTTTGCCGAAGTCAAGATACATAACACCAGTCCTTGAACAATACTGTTCAAATTTTACTTGCAATGTTTTAGTAACTGTCAGTAATTGTGTGAGGTACAAATTTCCTGGCTCTTCATTCCACAGACTACTACACAGCCTCAGTCTCACATGACCAGTGACCACCGGCCACTTCCCTTCTGTCCAAGTCTGTCAGGTGATTGGTTACTGCATGTCTATGTTCAGTTCACACACAGACAGTAAAGCATGCAGTTGTGTGGCCTCGCTGTCAAAGTTAATTTGCTTTTTACCACCAAACATAACTTCATTAATCCAGCCAGTGTGCCGAGGTCTTATTTCAACCTTTGAAGCCTGTTCTCTTAGATGGGCTTTTGGGTCGTGCAGTTTCTTTAGTTGAGTTTCTGAAGAAGTGTGTCAGACTGTGCCATTGAAGACGTTCAAGCACAGCGGCAGGCAGTGACAGCAACAGGAAGGACTGTGCATGTGGCATCATATAAACTGCCACGCCCTTCCAGCAGCTCTGCGGGAAGCAAGGAGAGCTGTGAAGGCACCAGTGATCAAGCGCATGTCCACACTGCTGCCTTTCAAAACACAGATGGTTTGTAGCCAGAAGAATTTAGTGACGGCGAACTTGTCAACATAAATCATTGTGATAAAAAAAGATGACGATATCCTGAATTATGGCACAGAAATTGTCCAGGGTAAATGTCACTCACTGACCCTGACTCAGATGGGAGTATGATAGTGCCACAGCATAGAAGGATGCTTGCTCGTGGTCCTGAGTTGCTTCTGTGAGAGACTGAAGAAGAAACAAGACACTCTTGTTGTCAGTGTTTATACTGTTTTAAATTACAGTCTACTCAATAAATATCAGTTTTACTTTCTTTGTTTCCCTATACATTTGTAACTTGCAGGAAGAGCTTCAGTGTTGTGCAGTTTTTAACAGTCATGGAATAGTTGTCATTTCCCCACTGACTATTCAGATCACATTGTGTGGATTAGATCAAGCGCCATTTTTACAGCCCCATGTTAACTGGGCAAAGTGAGGACAGCCTGTGTTTGCTTACTGTGTATGTGTGTATGTATGTATGTATATATATGATAGTTTCCAAGTAACAATGCCAACATTAACAGTAGTGATATGGCAACTGAATGCTGTTTAAAATTTGTCTCTAGTTTTTGTCTTAGGTATGCCCCACCATGCAGTCTAATTACTGTGTGTTAGGTTACATGAGGTTCCAGATGCTAGGAGATGGTTGTGGCAGCATAGTTTTTGGATCTTCCCAAATCCTTGCACCAATAGAGACAGAGCTGGTGACACAAAGCATATCATCCCTTGTTGCCCGAGGCAGGACAGAGAGGGCAGGAAGGAAGGTTTTTACAAGAGGGCATGAGGACACTTTTGTTGGTTAGGGATATTTCAGAATGCTGGTTGTGGTTTCACAGATGTTTACATATGTCAAAACTAATCAAATTGTACACGTTAATGTGAGGGTTGTTTTGTGGTCATTATACCTCAGTAATGCTATTTACTTTTTAATAAAAAGACACATACACACAAAGAAGAGAGACTGAACAAGATAGAGCCAACAGCCCTTTGACAGCATTTACAACAGAGCGAGATTGTCAGTCATCCTTGTGGAGCCCCTAATGCAGACAGATGTGGACACACCACCCACAACCCCAGCATCTGCTGGATTTCTAATTCTGTATTCTCCAGTGTCCTTGAAAGTCAGGATTTTCAGTGTGGAAGAAAGGAGATGCAGCTGTAGGCTAGAAGAGGTTAAGTACAAACTCCCATGTTATTGACTTTGAATTGGCAATATCAGTATGAATTCATGAGTACTTTATGTGTGTACATACACACGCATTCATACATACAGTAGCAGTGAACATTTTGCAGTACCAGATTCTACTAGGTTCCAAGTCTACTAGGTTCATGTTGCCAGGACTCAGGTGCCGCATGAAGAGGCTCCCAATGGCCAATCATTGGACAGTTTAAGATTCTGTAGTCATAAACCTGGTTGCATTGAACCACAGCTCATCAATATTGCAGCTCATCCACACACACCCGCAGTTGTTCACTGTCTGAGGATGGCAGAGTGCCAGTTGTCTTGAAACACTGTGGGTGAAGAGTGAGGACCCAACTCTCTCTTACAGGGTCTGTTCCACCAGTGACCAAACTCAGTCCAAAGGGCAGAAGCTTCTCTGCTTACATTTTACTCTAGCTAAAATTGGAAAGGAAGGCTAGGTTATCACCCTCTGCAGCCCCTAGTGAAATAACAGTTCTGGGCATTGAGCATGAATGGCTGCTGGCAGCAGGGTAGAGGAGAACCTGGACCTGGTGCCTCTGCATGACTGGTGTGTTCCTGCTGAGCGCCCGCCCAAGTGTGGACAGGGAGCCAGTCAGACTGGACTGTGAGTGTGCAGTCAGCAGAGTGCAGACCCAGGCCTTTCTGCAAATTAATCGGAAGGAAAGAGGAGCAGAGGGCCCTGTAGATTAAAGTGACTTTGAAGACATGCCAAGAATGGGCAAGGTTCAACTGGAGTGTCTAAGGATGAGCATTTGGGCGATAAACTCTAAAGTATAGCAAGGAGGTGGAAATGACCATAGTGTTTCTCTAGAAGAGGGAAAGGGGCTGTGATGGGTATGGGGTGCGTGGGGACTTCTGAGGGGCCTTGCAGTTGTTCACAGCTTCTTTGCCCACTAGGGTGTGCATAGGCTGTGTGGCTTTCTGTAACTATTTCATTTTACAATTAAAAAATTTCAAAAACCTCAAAAGTCACTTGGATGAATTCTCTCTGATTAACCTATGAATTTGTTATTATGTCATATGCTTTTTATTTTTTTAGGAATTGCTTTTTAAAAAGTTAGATGTAATTTGGCTTTTTAATTATGTAAAACGTGTATGATTTCAAAGTGAACAAGTATAAAATACAATATGTTCAGAAAAGGCTGGCTCCTATTCCTGTCCCTTCTTCCTGTTCCTTATCTCCCTTTTTAGGTATTATGCATGCCCACATGACACACACAGAGATATGTACATACAGAGATGCACACTCACAGAAGGACATGTATACACATGCACTTGCACACACACAGATGCACACGTGTGCACACAGATATGCATGCACGTGCACACAGATACATATAGATATGCACACACCACATGCCTACAGGAGCACAGAGACACAGATGCACGTGCGTAGAGATGAGCATGCGTGCACTCACATGCGTTCTGTCTCTACCTTCTCCCTCCCTCGTTCTTACTATTCTGTACATGAGGTTCTGCAGCTTTCTTTCTTCAATGAACAGTGTGCAATCCCAGAGATCTTTCCATAGCAGTCTGTTGATGTCCATCTTGTTCTTCCCTCCCTTTCCCCTTTCTTTTCTTTTCTCATGTGCTCCTTTTCCCAGCTAGATCTCTAATCTTTTGTTCCCTTTTGTTTTATCACACCTTTTGTCACCTAACATTGCAGTGAGTAGTCGTGTATGTGTTATTTTGAGCTTTTGCTGTTCTACCTTTAGGATAGAATCTGAGAGTGGGATGATAGCATGGTCAAAGGGTAAATGGATTTTTTCCATGTTTAAAATTTGATAGATTGTGAGTATATAATAGTACTTACCTGGGTTATAGCAGTTTAGCTGTCCTTTTATTATTATTATTATTATTTTTTCCTTTTTGTCTTTTTTCGTGACCGGCAATGGATTGCAACCCTCAGTGTCACGCCCGTACCGGACCGGGACCGGCAACGGGATCGCAACCCTCGGTGTTGCACCCGCACCTCGCTCAGCCAGTGAGTGGCCGGTCGGTACGTGGGATCCGAACCCTCGGCGGGAGTGCCTCCGCACTCCCAAGCGGCGCACTGTAGCAGTGTGCCACCAGGCCGGCCCTGTCCTTTTATTATTGAACATGTTTCTTAGTGGCAAATCAGATTTTACTGGCAAGATAATCTTACACTTTTGGATTTTTCTGTGTAATACTTATTATTTTGTCATTATCAAAACATGGATTAAAGATAGAAATGATCAATGTGGTCTTTTCTAAAGTAAAATTCTAATTACTATTAAACATTAATGGAAAAGAATATAAAATAGGAAAGAAGTGATTAACTAAAAAAAATTACTATCTTTTCAGCAAACTTGTTCTGTGAATGAAATAATATCATCTAAAAGAAAGGCTTTTAAGGATTTTTTGTTCCTGGGGATATCTAGATACATCATTTCTGTGTCCCACCAGGCCCTGGACTTGTGCTTTTATGGGACCTGTAGCTCAGGAATAATCTTCTGTAACACAACGCAAGAGTGGTGAATTTTTCTTCTCTACTTCCAAGGTTCGTGTTTTATTCGAACTGATCAACTAGATGGTGAGACCGACTGGAAGCTGAAAGTGGCAGTAAGCTGCACGCAACGGCTACCGGCTCTGGGGGTGAGCAGCACTGTAACTACTCCATCACTTACTTTCAGTGGTAACGTCTAGGTAGTGAGTACATTTCTGCTTATAGCAGCTAACTTGTTTAGTGTATTGAGAGTTTGTTTTATAATTTATTTCTAACAAAGAGTCATTGAAAATTCTGCCAAAGTCATTTCCATGGTGTCTTAGCACATAATTTGTTTTAGGTGCTTTTGGATGTTCCCATTGGCTTGATTGAGATTTTCTCCTCCCTCCCTCCCTTTCTTCCTTCCTTCCTCTTTCTCAGTTAAATAATCTTTTTGAATTTGAGAACTTTTGGTGGGGATTAGGGGAGTCCATTATTGCTAGCTGACTTACTCCCTAGTAAGCTAGTTAAGATACTGTTTTGGAAGACTATAGAATTCAGACACTGGTTGAGCCTAGTCTTCGAGACTAGCCTGTTCAGCCTTTTCTTTGAAAGGTAGAGAACCTGCTTTGATTAGGAGGAAGTAAAGTGTTGCCCTGTGTCTTAAACTAGGGGACAAAGGAGAGAGATATTTTTAGACTTCTGGCTTCACCTTTGCTGAGTGTTTCTTTGTACCTGGGGAATATGCAAAGGGTGGAATTAGAGAGGACAATATTTGTGGGTTTCTGTATTTTCAGTGATCTCTAAAACAGATCTCTCACAAATGTTGAGAATCTCCCAAACTGGCACATCTTTTTTTTTTTAAACAAAGCCGTAGTTGTGGCCATTTGGTGTTTTATTTTGTGTTAGTTTATATATAGTATTGATCTGAATGCAGAAGCTTTGACTTACATAATTTGCTAAAATTCAAAGGACAATAAAGAAAAATTGGGACTAATAGTGACATTTGACCCAAGCAATTGTTGGTTAAGGGGGGGAAAATTGCATACTGTAGACTCTTCCTTAGTTTAGCTGAGATAGAGTAGGAGTAGCTACTTGTATTGTCTACAGTTTACAATTCATTACCACAAACAGCAAGATCCTCCTCATTCTTGGGTGTACTGGAATTTTTGGAAACTAAATATGTTGACATGTGTAAGACTTAGAAATATTTTGGTTACTAGGTATTTTCATGTTGCCTGTATTTTAGGCAGTCCCTTAGTTGAAATTCATCACTGTGTGTTTTGCATATCTTTTCCAAGACCAGCAGATGCTGTGGGAGTCTGTGTGCTCCTTCTTTGTGTGTTTGTCGTCATGTCATAATGTGGGGTCCCCCCACATTTGTCTGTCACAGGGTCGCTGTAATGTCTGCTCTTTCTTCTTCTGCTTCTGCTCCTATTTGCAACCCTTAAAAATGAAAAATATACTCTTACCCTGAGGGCCACACAAAATGAGTCCAGGCTAGATTTGGGCCCCAAGTCATAGTTTTCTAACCCTGAGCTGGAGAATGGCCTTTCTTAGCTGACCAGCTGGATCTCTACCACTCTCTTCACAGGTTGGAACAAGTGGGCACCTCCTGCTTTCCCCCCCCCTTTTTTTTTAATGTAACCATTAAGAGAAGTCATATAAATAGCAAATCTTTTTCCTTCAGATAAATTCTTAGAATTGCGAGGTTAAAGTTTATCACAATTTCAGGCTTCTGGTATTTCCAGATTATCATAGAAGAGTTGTGCCAAAGTATGTTGTAACTATGTGTGATTACTAGATGCTATTTTTAAAAATACTTAAAATACGTACTGAAGGAAAAAAAATCTCAGTTTGATAGACAAAATGTAGACAGTTCATGTTTTAAATTTGTACTTCTTTGATTACTAATAGGGTTGAAATTTTCCATCACACATTTATCAGAAGTTTATATTTCTTATTTGGTTGTTTGCCATTTTGTATTGTTGTTTGCCAAGTATGTGCTTGTGTGTATATGGTATCTTTCAAATTGATTAAACCAGATTCATGCAAACATATATATGTATATAACATATATGTGTATCCTGTTTTTAATTCTCTCCTTCTTAGAGATGTAGAAATATTTTTCTTTCTATTTTATCTCTACATTATGTAGTCTCCATTAGTTCCCAGGTCAGAAGTTCTTTTTGAAAATTGTTCAAACTACTGTTTTGGATCAGAATTTCTCAATCAAAGGCAGGTAGCTATTAGTAATATGATTTGTTTTTGTGGTGTGTTGAATTTCGGTGTCCTGTGATTGTTTACTTAAATTCTGTAGAATACTATGTATACTTTATATGTTCTGAGTTATAACAATTTTTTTTATGGTTGGTGAATGTATTAGTCAGTTTCTGTTGCTTATAACAGGATACCTGAAACTGGGTAATGTATAAAAAAGCAAAATTTATGTCTTATGCTTTGGAGGTTGGGAAGTCCAAAGTTCAGGGAACACATTTGATGAGGGCCTTTTTCTTGGTGGTGACTCTACGGCTATGCAGGATGTCCCATGGCAAGAATGGCTGAGCAAGAGAGTACCACCCACATGAAGGCCCTCACCAGATGTGCCCTTGGACTGTGGATTTCCCAGCCTCTGAATGGTAAGAAATTAATTGTTTCTTTATAAATTATCCAGTTTCAGATATTCTCTTATAAGCAACAGAAGTGGATTAATACAGAAGATTGGTACCAAGAAGTTGGGTGTTGCTGAAAATGTGGAAGTGGACTTGGAACTGGGTGTTGGGAAACGGCAGGAAGAATTTGGAGGAGCGGGCTATAAAAAGCCTAGATTCTAGGCCTAGATTCAGGCAAAGTTTAGAATATCTTAAAAACTGGTTAAATGGTGGTGACTAGAATGCCGATAGAAATATAGGCTGTAAAGCCCATGCTGAGAAGGTCTTAAATGAGAAGGAGCTTATTGGAAACTGGGGTAGTGATCACCTTTATTATGAACTGGCAAAGAACTTCGCTGAATTGTGTCCCTGCCAGAGGGCTTCATGGAATGCAGAATTTAAGAGTTTTGAGCCAGGGCATTTGGTAGAAGAAATTTCTAAGCAGCACAGCATTCACATAGCTGTGTGGATTCTTGCAATAGCGTGTGCTGAGTTATGGCAGAAAAGGCATGAAGTAAAGGCAAAGGGTAAAAAAATTGGAAAACTCTCAGCCTGGCCACACAAAGAATGAGGAGGTCTGTTGGAGAGAGGAAACCCAAGGGTGTAGCCCAGTGACCATTTACTAAGGAGATTGGTACAGAAGGAAGGGATTAATGAGAGAATGAAAAAAAGACCTTGAAGGCATTTCATAGGTCTTCTAGGCTGCCCCTTCCATCACAGGCCCAGAGGCCTAGGGAGACAGAATGGTTTCAGAGAACCAGGACTGAGGCAGCCTCTATGGGCTCTCAGCCCAGGGTCACCACGGAATGCTGCTCCCCCCACCCTGGCTGCTCTGGCTTCCCCAGCTGTACCTAAACTGGCCCCAATTCCGGTACCACTTTTCCGTATTAGTCCATTTCTGTTCAGAAAATTTTTGTTTATCGTTTCTTTTGCTCATAGAAATTGCAGCATGCTTATATAATGTGACGTACCAGTATTTCTTAAATGGGTTTTTAAATGTTTACTGCTTTTGATTTTATGGTTAGACTATTTTCACTCACGCTTATATTTTAAATGATTACTTTAAAAATAATTCTTGCTTTATGTACAAAATCTCTAATCCATCTAGCATTTATTTTGGGTCAAGCTGTTAGTGAGAAATCAAACTTAAAAAAAAACAAAAAAACAAAAAAAAACCTGTCAGTCAGTTACACCAGTACTATTTACTGAACAACTTCCTGTTTGTGTACAAATCTAAATTTGCCCTGGTTATACAATTTTCAAGTCTCAACGTCAGGGTATGAGTGTACCTGTTTCTCTATACCCTTGCCCAGTACATGTTGCAAATACATTCTTCTAATCTGTTTCTTAACTTCTAGCTTTATGTTATCTTTTGCCATATAAATGTTTTCAGTTTTGTTTAGGTAAATATTTATGTGTTTTTCTTTATGCATTGTAGGTTTGTGTTGTGCCCAAAAGGCTGTGTTCCATCAATATTCATTTACCATTTCAACCACTCTAAGTGTGTGTGAGTAGGTAGAGTCTAAAAGTGAGAGGCTGGGCATTAGCATTTATAGTATTATAATTTTTAGAATATTGTTCCCAGCAGGTCCACATGATGCACAGAGACCCTTAGGGAAGTTTAATCATGTTGCTAAATGATTGTTTTAGAGTGAAGGCTGAGAACGGTCTTTCTTGTTATATGTGTAGCTCTGCTGGCAGGTGCCTCACCCTGGCCTGCGTTTTCTCTGCATCAGGGTTTCCTTCCTTCGCTCTTTCCTGGCCTCTCTGCTTCCCAGTGTTTCTACTTCCTCTTTCTCCAGTTTTTCATGTTAAAAGAAAAGCTATGCCATTACCTTATTACTTAAGGCACTTATACTATTCTTATACTGTTTGTGGAAATGAGTTCATTTCCATCATAGAGAAATTCTTGCAACCTGTTGACTTTCTGATGTGATTCAGACTGGGTGCCGGGTTAGTGCTTCTGCTTCTTGGTTGCATTTTTCCTCCTTGTGTCCTTTTCTTTCTTTTTCCAGTGTACTTCTTCAAGTAACTCCTTTAGGATTAAAGGGGAGAGGTGGAGATAAAGTCTACTACTCCTTCCATGACTGGAGAGGATTTTAGCTTGCTGTCATACTTGGATGGTGGCCCTACCCTCCGTGTGTGCCCCTGAAGAATCTTCGAGTTGTAGGGTACACCGGCAGTGCACAGCTGGGCAACAGCCACACCAAATGATAATTTTGTAATAGATTTAATTTTGCCAAGACTAGTAGAAAAGAAAGTGTAGAATTAAAACACTGGATTAGAAAGAATTTGTCTGAAGAAAATCTCAACATGAACCAATCAAACAAGAGTGTTAGTGATGATTCCATTAGTGTAAAATTCTAGAAAAGCAGATCAGTAGTTGACGGAGGCTAGCAGTGGAGGGAGAGGTGGGCTGCAGGAAGTACAGGGATACTGTTGGGCATGATGGAAAAGTTCAGTGTCTTGATGGTGGTGATGGTCACAGGAGTATACATTTATCAAAACACATAAAATTT